ACTCAGCACATTAAGTCTAAAAATGTTTGTATATATAAACAGAAATCTTAATAAAGAGTATCAGCAAGACTGCCAAAATGAAAAAAATAAAAAATAAAAATAAAATCAAAATTTAATATTTTATTCCTTATTTATTAATTAAATAAAAATTTAATTTTTTTATTTATTTTACTAAATTTTTAATATAATTATAAAACCTAATTACAATATTTTTTTATTAACTATTATATATATTAATAATATACTAGTCTAATAATGTTTATAATTAAACAATAAATATGAATAAAAATAATGTTTATAATTAAACAATAAATATGAATAAAAATAATAGTAATTATAATATTATAATAAAAATAAAAATAAAAAAAAGAGAGAATGATAATCCTAGTATAGTGATTAGGTTGTTATTCTTCAAGTGGCAGGTCTAAGGTTCAAATTCTACCTATGATAAAATTTGAAAATTATATCTAATTATAATAACTGTCTTTTGTCGATTAGTTGACCTTATGCAGCTATAACCCAGATATACCAAGTTGGATCCTATTAACATTGGAAGCTCAGAGCATCTATGCAAAATATAACATTACATGTACATAAAGGAATGTATAACCAGTGTTGTATAAGACTTTAGTACAAACCCAAGATAAGACCACTGGGCATAGAAGACTAAGAAATCGAGATAACAAAAACCTACTTAGAAATTCCTAAATAAAGAGATAGCATGAACTTTCAACAGTACTATCAAACTGATTGAAGTTCATAAACACCTTCATAAGAACTGAAGGTTAAACTGAACATCAAATATGTATAGAAGAGCATATAACCAACCAGCCTGCTAAATTCATCAGAGAAAAAGAATACAGAAATATATCATACTAGGCCATCTGAATTGTAGTCTAAAAGAGACTGCTAGTTATGAGTTGTGACTTGTAAAGAATGATGAAGAAGATGCCAGGAAGATAGGAACTGGGGTTTTAGTGAACTTTACAAGGGTAAAAATAGTATAACATAGCAGTTAAACAAATAACTCCTGTAATTGCAAGTATTAGGTAACTATAGTATGTTGTATAAAATTAGGTCTTAATGTATAAGATATAAAGGCTCTAGTAAGTTTTCTGTTAAGAATAAAGTAGTTCTAAGAGTAATAATCAGCATCAGAAACTTGAATAGGTGTAACTTTGAGATGTTCTTATGATACAAGGAGAATTGTATATGCAAAAGATTTAAATAGACAAAACCTTTAGTTAGCTTGCAGGTATAGCAACTAGTGTAGAACTTATATAGCAATGTGTAAATGGACTACTTAAATTAGGCACCAAAAGTGCATGTTTGGCTAATTATAACCTCCAATATAAGGTAAGCTCCTGGTTGCATACTATGTCCTAATATTCTTAAATAAAAATGTTGCATTCTTAAGGCAAAGACTTTAATTATAAAAAAAAAAAAAAAATGAAGAGAAAAAAAAAGAGAAAAAATAATAATAAAAAAAATGCTTTAGTTATGAAAATAAGTTAGTAATAAGTATGTTGCATTGTAAGAATTTTACTAGTATATAGTATATATATATTAAAATTTTATAGTTTAAATATTTTTTTGAGAGAGATTATAAAATTATTGGCACAATTTAATACTAATTGTTAATTTATATATTTTTTTTGAGAATTGATATTCATACCACCCATTTTTGATATTTGTACCCCCCATGTAATAAATTTCTATTTACGTGATCACGTGACCTATCCAAATGCTCGAAATTCCATCTCGAACATCATTTTGAATGGCACAAAATTACATGATCTCGTCAAGTGGCTTGTACATATATTGCACAAAATAGAGTTTAAAGCTAACTTTAAGTTTCTTATATTAAAACAAATTTTAAACTTATATCAGTATTAACTTTTTGCTACACAATTTGAAACCTTTTCTGTGTGAAAAATACAAAAGTACAAGCAACTGTGCATACTAGTTACAAAACATTTGATTCTGTGTGCTGCGCACAGTCTGCACAGCAAAAAATAATTAATGATCACTGTTATATTTTATATAAGTTTTAAGTTATACATGCAAGCCAACAGGATAAAAACAATTTTTATAATTTTTTTTTTTTATATAGCTAACTAAAAAATCTATTGTGTGTTTGAGCAGGTATGAGCATAGTGCCCAGGCTGTTTGCAAAGACTACATCTTTGCACTTGGTGTTCTATGAACTCAAATCCAGAAGGATCTCTTCTGGTTGAGCTCATTTGTCAATGATTAGAAGAACCAGTAGGATGTCCTCTAGTATGAATTATCTGGGGATTTTTCAAAACAATTACTGGTGTATTAATCATATTATTTAATGATTCTCGTGTTGCTGCTTGTTGATGCTCAGGTCAGTTTTGGTATTTACTTTGTAAATTTTGTAATATGGTCTCAAGTGCATCTTCATTTTTAACAGAGGGTAATGGCATACGATTTTGAATCCAACAATGCTTGTGAATGTCATCAAGTGTTAGGTTTCGATTACTCATAAAATTTTGTATAATATGAGCACAAGGTAAACCCATTGTACTCAAAAAAGACCTAGTACATGATGATAAAGGTTTCTTTGTAGTAGTGGCGATTGCTTTTTGGTATTGTTCGCTCACTTTTTTAAGTGTGAAAGTTGAAACCATTCCCCTGATATTTATATAAAATGGGTTGTTGTGTACAAAAGCTAGAAAACAAATGCATTCAGATGCAGTCATAGCATCAATCTCTCTTTTTTGATTATTTACTGCAAGAGAAAATGTTTCACGAACTTAGTAAAGATCTCTTATTGATGTTCATATATATGCTTTGAAGGTAGCATGTGCACTTTCAATTCTTAAAGTTACTGTTGTTCCTAGGTGAAGAAATGCATTTGTCCAGGCTTCAACAAATTGCTTTTTTTGGCTGATCTATGTTTCATTAATATAATTAATAACTTGAGGTTTGTTAATATAAGTGGTCTGAAAATTTTGCCAGTTTAAATTAAATTCATCTTCAGTTTTTGATTTGACAATTTCATTCCACTTTGAGAGAAAAAGATTCCACTCACTATTTTCGTCAGTTTCTTTTGAGAATTGCAGCTTGCAATTTTTCAAAATATTTTTACTAATATGCTATATGCATAGCAGGTTTGTTAAATAGGGAAAGATAATTCTAAGAGCATTTATAAGAGCAAGCTCCTAATCTGTTATAATAATGCCAGGCTTTGAAACTCCATTAAACAAACTAGCAACATTATTAAGAGCCCAGCAATAATCTTTTTCCTCTTTATCCTTTATAAAAATAAAACATGAGTAAAAAGTGGTATAAAAACTAGTTATCCCAACAATGTTCAATAAAGGCATTTTAAATTTATTTGTTTTATATGTGCAATCCATAAGAAGCACAGAAGAATATTCTCGAGTAAGAGCAATGGACTTATTATGAGCAAAGAAGAGGTGAGTAATGCTGCCATTATTGTCATATTTACATTTATATATAAAATCACCTTCACTAAGCTCATCTATTAATGCTTGGATCGAAGTATGACCTGCCAGATTTTGTTGATGAAGTTGCCCACATGCATTGTAAATGTCTCTGCTAGTTACTAATGCTAATTTATCATTCTGCCTAAGTGCAGACACAATTTTTCGAGGACCTGAACCAGAAACAGTCATTTCTATAACTCTTTCTAATTGTTGTCCTGTAAGTCTACGAGAAATTGGATGACCTAACATATTGATTGATCGCTCATGGTTATGCTCTAAATTATGAACTTCTAAATACCAAAGACCATCACAGAGAGAAGCATATAATTCAAAAGGGCAGTCAATTAGTCTAGAGCTTGTTTGCCGATGCTGTGCCTCTGTACTATAAGTACCACCCCAATCACAATGCAATAACATATTTTTTAATTTACCACAGTGGTTTTTTCTTGTTCTTTTCTTTACTAATGCACAGCCTTGAGAATTGGCAAAACTTTGGACACTTTGTAAGAGTTCATCAGCACTATTATATGTTGCCGAAGGTGGTAGAAGCATTGTTAAACTCATAGTTTATTCAAAGCGAAAGTAAACATTTATTAATTTATTATGAAGAAAATTATTGTTTAATGAATTATTACAAATAACATTTAATGAAAATTTTTACTAACTACTTTTCTATTTATATACACATTTATTCTTTAATCTTGATTACATGATTAATAATGCTAACTTTCAAAAACTACTTCTATATTTTATGCCATCACAATCACTCAACTATCACGATTGATTTCTGCATACAATAATAATTACAACTTGAATGTATTGCATTGAAAAACACTTGTGCTATGGCCTGACATGTGTGTAATTAAATAAGTTAAATTATTTGATTTCTGGAAAAATTATGCGATTAATGATTGCTATATGTAAAATATTAATGCATTACAAAACACTTATGCTATCAATGTAATATAAATATCATATGATTTTAAAATAATTGATCGCTGTAGAAATTCTATAACATGTTGAAATATAATTAATAATTGAACTTGGATTTAATAATTGAATCTGAATTTAATTA